GCGTGTTTACAGGAATTTATCCACTTCCTCTGGATTTTCTAATTTGTGTACATAGAGTTGCTCATAATATTCTCTGAAGATCTTTTTTATTTCTATGGGACCAGTTGTAATTTCACCTTTGTCATTTCTGATTGTGCTTATTTGATCTTATCTCTTTTTTATTCTTTTTGCCTTGTTAATCTATTGCGAGGTCTAATCTTGTTTAATTGTTCAGAGAACAAGCTCTTGGATTCGTTGATATTTTGAAGAGTCTTTTGCATCTCAGATTTTTAAGTGCTTCTCTAATTTTAATGATTTCTTTTTCTTCAGGTAGGTTTGTGGTTGGTTTGTTTTTTTTCTTTTTTTTTTTTTTTTTTTTGACTAGTGCTTATAGGCACAAAATTAGATTGTTTGTCTGAAGTCTTTCTGAATCTGAAGTCTTTCTGACTTCTTGATGTGATGAAGGTGTTTAGGGCTATAAAACTTTCTTCTCAACCCTGCTTTAGCAGAGTTTTGGTAAGTTGTGTCCCTACTTTTATGTATTTCAGAGAATTTTTAAAATTCCTTCCTTAATTTTAATGTTTACTCAAGAGTTATTCAGGAGCAAGTTATTTTATTTCTATGTATTTATATAGTTTTAAGAGATCGTTCTGATATTGATTTCTATTTTTATTGCACTGTATGCTTTGTGTGATTTCTATTTGTTTTAATTTATTTAGATTTGTTTTATGACCAGGCATGTAGTTGATCCTAGAATATGTTCCATGTGCAGATGAGAAGCATGTATATTCTGTAGTTGTTGGGTGGAGTGTTCTGTAGATGTATATTTGGCCCAGTTGTTCAAGTGTCAAGTTTACATCCAGAGTTTCTTCATTAGTTTTCTACCTTGATTATTTGTCTAATTCTATCAATGGGGTATTGAATCTTCCAAAAGTATTGTGTAAGTATATGTGTTTCATTGACCAAGAATAACTTGTTTTATGAATCTGGGTGCTCCAAAGTTGTGTGCATATATATTTACGACAATGAAGTCTTCTTTCTGGATTATGGTCTTTATCATTGGGCAATGTTTTTCATTGTCTAAAATATATTTTGAAAGTACAAAATCCATTGATATGCAACAATGTTAATTTTGGCCAAAGTATCAAGTTGTAGTTACATATTAAGTCCTATTTCCAATGAGTTAATAATAATGTGGTGATGCTTAATTTCTTAACATGGGGGCCGGGCGCGGTGGCTCAAGCCTGTAATCCCAGCACTTTGGGAGGCCCAGACGGGCGGATCACGAGGTCAGGAGATCGAGACCATCCTGGCTAACACGGTGAAACCCCGTCTCTACTAAAAAAAAAAACACAAAAAACTAGCCGGGCGAGGTGGCGGGCGCCTGTAGTCCCCGCTACTCGGGAGGCTGAGGCAGGAGAATGGCATAAACCCGGGAGGCGGAGCTTGCGGGGAGCGGGAACCCGCCCCCCGCCCCCCCCCCCGGGGAAAAAAAAAAAACCCCGTCAAAAAAAAAAAAAAAAAAAAAAAAAAGAAAAAGAAAGGGAGTGTTGAATCAAAGAGGTCATTATTTTCATATAATTTCCCTTCCTGATACTGTATGTATTGAGAAATTGAGTTTACTCAGCCCCCAAATGATTGAGTCATCCCCATTATTTGTGATAATAATATTAAAGTAATTATTATTGTGATAGTTATCGTTTTATGTCTGGAGTTACCAAGTTAAGGTGATCCATGCCACATAACTATTAACATGTATCATAAATTGAATGTATTATGTTTTTACAATCTGTCTTAAGAGAAAGATGATTTGTCAGAAACTTTATACTTTGCATTCACAAACTTTGTAACACAACCCAGAAAATCATTTGGGGAGTCAAATTAGGGCGATTATTCCTGAAATGAACATTCAGTACTGAAAAGCCACATACTTGTCTTCATACATGTTTATGTTGTGATATAGACACGAATGTTGAACACTTGGCAAGACAAATGACAGAGAATATATTTATACTTAGCTTTGTTGACTTTGCTGATAAAATCACAACTTTAGGGTGTTTATAGTATAAATTCTCAAAAAGAGTTTGCCTTTCTATGACAACTTCAGTGAGAGGAGTCTAATAGCAAAAAACTTAATTATTTTTAAAAACAAGGAATGTCATTAATAGCTGGCATGAGAACTGCCACTTCATTCTGAAGTTTGAAAAAAAAAAGTTTTCAATACTTAGAATGCTTGCCTTACCATAGTAGCAATTGAATAAAGGACTAACAATGTGTCTTATAAAGAGTTAATCATGAAGAAAGATTAGTTTTGTATTAGAGTAATAAGCTCATAAAGTTGAGAAGTAATGGACCAATTCTCTGAAATAATACAGGGTCTTAGGATATTTAAAATCAGGTTGAAACCTTTTATTGCACAGGTAAATATTTGTGGAGTGAGGAATGGCCAGAAAAATGTCACTGTTTAGGTAGCAGATATTCAGAGTTGCCTGAGAATCTAAACCAGAAAATAGGAATGGAAATGGAAATGATTAAAGAGCAAACCTTAAAGTGTTGGTTTTAAAATCAGTACAAAATTATACATATCCATAACAGAAAAACAGATAATCAGATCTAAATGTTCAAAATGTAGCCACACCTCTAAGTTAAGAGGGCAGTTAGTAATAGAAGGTACCAGGGAAAAACCAAAAAGTAATTTCCTAAATCCAAAGTAATCAGGCAATTAGTTTCAAAATGTGGCCATTGAGTATGGTCACTTGAGGTGGAACACAGATTGAATGCTAGTCTCTGTGATTGTAAGGAGACAAAACACAACCCCAGCCCTGAAGTAACAAGGACATAAAAGAGAATCAAACATCAACCTTTTCAGACCAAGACACAGTTTCTAGAACTGCATTATAAAGCAAGTACTTGACCAATAAAGGTAGGTGGGAACTAAGAGAGTAAATTAGGAAAACAGTGTGGAGCTGATTTGCAGTCACTGCTACTTAGACTGGTACGGTTTCCCATTATTAGTATCGGTTTGTGAGGTGCTGAAATATGAACTGTGATGCGGGTGTAAACAAAGAACACCAACACGACAACAAGTGACGACTATTTATTAGGAGCTTGCTAAAGCAGGGAAGTTAGCCACAATCACTTCAGTTTGACAAAGACGCAATGGCAGGCAGGCGAGTGGGGAAGTTCTAAAGGTGAATAACAAAAAGTGAAGGCTTTAAGCATGCCCTGATTCCAAGATGTTGGCATGGGGAAGCTGGAAATGGGCTATCTAACAGGAGCCGGCCAAATTATGTGACTGTTTAGAGTTGTGTGTTTTGTTTTCTCCGATGCTAAGTTGAAAATGGGGGCAACAACAAGGGAAGTTAGCCGGTTTTGCTCAAGCCCTGGTGGCTAATTTGGAGCTGATTGTCACAGAGGTCTTGTTTGGCTTCCTAGGCTGGCTACAGAGGCTGTGTGTCAGAGATCTATTGTCCTATAAGATCTGGCTATGGTCTCTATAGTCAATTTCCCAATGAGTTCATGGCTTTAAATATAGGATGCAGAAATCAAAGGAGAAAAGATAGAACTAATGGGTCACACCCCTGTCAATGGGAAAAGTGTTGGCACACAGTAAGTGGCAATCTGGGAGTTCCTAAACAATAATCAAGAGCGTTTATCCCTAAAAGCAATGATGAGAACCAGACACAATATAATTCTCAGAAGACACCACGTGCAGAGAGATGGTCATAGGAAGGAATGGGGACTAGTAATAAAGCAAATATGAAGAAAAAGAATATTCTTCCATTAGGTTTCAGGAACAGAGTGTGATATTCTCATAAAAATATGTTAAGTAATGTATATTCTAATTAGCTATATTTAACTATTCTACAATGTCTAAGCACTTCAAAACTTCATGTTGTACTCTGTAAGTACACACACTGTTGTCTCTCAGTTTAAAATAAACATGAATAAAAACAGATTGTGAGTATTTATGATTATATGGTTGCTAAAGCACTAACCTATCGATTCCTAAAAATCAAAAGAGTGGAACTCGACTTAATGTGTACAGTGAGGGTGGGTTTGCAGAAGAGGCTGACCTAATCCTGGTGGCAAGAACCACATGAATATAGTCCCAGAGAAATTTCAGAAGGCAGGAATTTACAACTCAGCAGACATACAGAGCAATTCAAAACCATTGGTTAAGTTTTCCCACCTCATGAAGCTTGGGATCAATTCTGAGAAGGGAGTGATTGTGGAGAAAATTCTAGTTGGCATAACTAAACTTTCAGTAACTTTAAAAAAAGAAAAGAAAATTCATGAATTCATTGTGTATTACCCTGAAGTGACCAGATTCATTTTCTGTTTTCTGGAAGAAGTGAGGCTTCTAAAGTAATTAAGATCTGTTATATAATTTCTGAAGTTGCATTTTGTAGAGTTGAGTTGATGGGTTGTGGAAGTCATCACCATTTTTTATCGTATAAATGCAACATTCTCCTGGTAGAAGGAGGGCTGTCCTTTAGGAATGCGTTGCCACACTTAGTGAAAATAATGAAGTTATCCTAAGTACAAAGAAAAAGACATCATAGAGAAATGTTTCCTTATACTAATGTTATTTTGATGTTCATAAAGCAAGGTTTTTTGGTAATTATAAAATTAATGTAAAAACTTCATAGAAAATTTAGAAACCACAATAATGAAGAATGAAACGTAGCTCCTGAAAGATGACCCCAAAATGGAACCTTTCTAAATGATCACTTTTTAGATTTCAGCAAATCTGCCATGATTAGCTTTAGGAGAGGAATTACTCCAGAAAAACACCTAGATCCACTTTTCTCAGAGTGGAATTTGGCAAACACTAATAGCTAACCTGCTTCTCTCAGAGAGAACTACCCTTCAGATTCATTTGGAAATGCTCTGACATGTGCTGTCTCCCTTTTGCACAGGAAGACATCAAAAGCTCTTAGAAAGCCTGTGGTAAGCAAACCTGACTAACTTTACTTGGATCATCAGGCAATGTAAGCGTCACAAGTGAATGGGGCAATATGGCAAAGAACAAAAAGAAGAGAGAGTGTGCACTAACAGCCCATGTACACTAGCAGCCCCACAGGCAAGCATGTGTACTTGAGTACAGACCTGAGAACAAGCAACAAGGAGCATACACAGGAAAACACAGGCTCTAAGAATCGTAAATGCTTCAATCCCAAAGAAGAAAATCACACACGGTGGCTGATGATTATTTGATGAAAATTTAGAAAGAAAACACAAGGTCTAGTCAGACATTTTGCTTAAATTTAGAAAAATAGGTATCAAAAACTTCAGATAACCAATGAGAATAACTCTATGGTTCAGTTTAAAACTGAATAAAGGGTCAGAAGATATAACTGCAAATACAATAAAAAGCAAAATTCAGAAAATACAAACAAAATTAATCTCTGTAATGAATGAAAGTGAGATGAATATGAAAAGCCCAATGAGTCCACACAAGGGATTCTATAATTTTTTAAAAGCTTGAGTAGTATACTGGAAGATTGAGTAATATACTGGAAGACTGAGTAATATACTGGCAGACTAAGTAATATACTGGAAGATTGAGTACTGGAAGAAGGAGTAATGGATACATGTAAGAGTAAGGCACAGAGATTCCAAGCTATTTTTTCAAAGCTTAACTAATGATATGAAATTTAGGAAAAGTTAACAGGAAATAAAAAAAAATCGTGTATCTCTCCTCTACATAACAAAAAAAGCCATTATTTGCTGGGGACACAACCAATAACATCCATGTAGCTTCTGTCTCCTGGAAAAGGTGCAATTACCTCAAATTTACAAAGGGCAGATTAAAGTTAGGTACAATGTGATCGAAGACCAGGTTGTTGAAACACTAGAAAGAATCATTTAAATGAGTTTATTACTTTCTCTATTTACATCCCTTTCATTTAATAAAATGAGAAATACTTTCAAACTTCCAAAGGATCATAGAAAACAATTAAAATGGGCCACATTTCTGATTTTTAATAAGGTCTAAAAATGGAATAAATAACTAATAAATACAACTTCATAGAAGGCAAATTTCAGAACATACAAACTGGCTAATTAAAATTAATCTTCTGATATATATTAGAAATAATTATGAAATCGTTACTAGATAAACCTGAGGAAGAAAATGGTAAACACTGAGTACACAGGCTTTGTTAAGACATAGCAGTTCTGGACTGAGTGCTGCTGGAGAAAATTCATGAACGTATATAGTTCTGAGCGTTTTCTTCCGCAATCAGATCTTTTCTACTGTTGAAAACCTGTCTGTGTGTCCCCAGATACGAGATGTACCCCGTCACGGAAGAACACATGATTCCACATCACTTTTCCTTTCTGGGTCTCTCTTTCTTATTTATATTTAATAATAATCGAATGTCTTGAAATTTGCTCTTGCCTACTTTACTTCATTTATTTGTCTTTCTCTTCTCAGAAAAACCTCATTAAAAGTTCAAACCGAGGTAGGAGGTACTGAGTGACTTTGGAAGTCCGCACTGTCGCATTGCAGATACTACTTAGCTCAGGGTCTGGTGGCTAGACAGGTTCTCTCCTTTCCAGTTGGAGGCCTCTGCCGCAAACACGCTCCGCCAGATCTTCGGTCAGGCCAAGAAGCATCCGAGCTTGATCCCCCTCTTTGTATTTCTTGGAACTGGAGCTACTGGAGCAACACTGTATCTCTTGCGTCTGGCATTGTTCAATCCAGATGTTTGTTGGGACAGAAATAACCCAGAGTCCTGGAACAAACTGGGTCCCAATGATCAATACAAGTTCTACTCAGTGAATGTGGATTACAGCAAACTGAAGAAGGAACGTCCAGATTTGTAAATAAAATGTTTCACTATAACGCTGCTTTAGAATGAAGGTCTTCCAGAAGCCACATCCGCACAATTTTCCACTTAACCAGGAAATATTTCTCCTCTAAATGCATGAAATCATGTTGGAGATCTCTATTGTAATCTCTATTGGAGATTCCACTGATTAATAAATAACTGAAACTTGAAAAAAAAAAAAAAAAAGTTCAAACCAAGCAACTACATGTTTATAAATACCCAGCCTGGCACATTCTTCCTCTCCCCTGTGTATAAATCAGTTTTAGCTTTTTCCATAGAATTCTCTTTTTGACTCTTAAACTCGAGTAAGAAAGAATGTGTTGGAGCATCTTGTATTACTTTATCAAACCCTTCTTCCTATATGTCATGATAATCTATTGAGAACAGGTTTGTAGGGAATCCCATTAATGGCTAGTCAAGGTTAGTATGTATTTTCTAACTTTCTATATTTTCTCAGGACCAGTTTTCAGCAACTTTAGGAAATTTAAAATAGTAGATCATTTATTATTTTAGAATAGACCCTTATATCATTTTCCTAAAGTAGGATATTGTTCACAAGGTACACCTGAAATAAAATTCCAAGTCTTCAGTGTATTAAAAAAGGCAATGTGGGGGATAAAATGACAAATAGTACATATATTTTAAGCATTAGAACCCCACTTTTGACAACACATATCCAAAAACTTCATAATCAAAGGAAACCTAAAATACATTGATAAGTGGCTTGTCACATAGAGACAAATGTTCAGCCTGCAGTAGGAATGTGAATTTTACAAACCAATATAAATTATAAATGAAATTATTCTTGTAAAAATTTTGATGGATACAGCAATGCATTATAAATCAACCTTAGTTCTTTTTGCTGTTCTTGTTCCCCTTATATACACTATATTGATTTAGGAAAGGAAAAGGGATAGGCTTTTTTTTTTTAAGTAACAGCACAGATAGTAACTATTGTAGGTATCACGGTGATATTATATTATCTCTGCTACAATTTAATTTTGCTGCAGTAGCATGAAAGCAGCCACAAACAAAACATAAACAGGCTATTAAGGCTGTATTCAAATAAAACTACTTGCAAAAAGAGACCCCTATAAGCCATAGTTTTCCAAACACTGATTTAGGACTATAAAATGTTTTGGATCTATAAAGAACTATTTATTACTCCTTGATCATTATTGCACCAAAATAATTGTATTCTTATAAGTGCTGTATTGAAAAATCCTGATATTTTGAAAAACTTTTTTTAACAATGATGCTATTCCTAAAATATTAAGTATTAGGTTTTTACATATATTTTGTAAAGTTAGTACATGTATATGACCGTAGCTTCTTGATACTTGCAGTGATTGTGTTAAGGAGTTGCACAATGTTTAGCCTAATTTTCTCATCAAATGATATTTGTTTTTCCTGGGCTACTTAGCGTTTTCCAAATAATATTTGATATTCTGGTAAACTTGATAAGGCTCATTAGCTAGATTGTAAGTTCCTTGAACACAGAAGGGAGTATATATTATATCTGTCTGATATACCACATGGTAACTACCACACAATCATGCTTGATGGAACAATCATTGATTTAAGTGTAATTTTTCCTTTTAGGTCTCTAAAAAAAGCAAAGATCTTCTTTTTGGGGGCAGGGGTTTAGTGCTGATGCTATTTTTGGATGACAATAAAAGAAGGATATCCATTTTGAAATTTCATGCCACATAAATACAATCACAAAACAGTCGACAAGGTAATTCTAAGGTAACTATTAAAAAATATTACATTGCCTAGTTATGTGTGCCAATTTTTCTGCAATATTCCATCTTTAATTTGTGGCAGGTGTTAACAAAATAACAAAAGCAACAACATATTCCCAATATTTACTATAAGTCATTTCTACTGGAGAAATATTCATATATATTTCGTCTAAATTATCGCAGAATGCAGATTGCTTTGTCCTCCTAATCTGAATTCAGTGTTACAGTTACAATAAGCTTGTCCGTTTTGAAATGCCAAATTGTCCTGATTATTTCTACTCTGGATTTGAATACACAGAATGTTCATCCATTAAGAGGCTCACCCCTCAGGCAACTTATTAACTTTGTTTCTGGTGATCTTTTGAAAAATTGCTATACAATCTTCGTGACAACCTTTTAAAATGACTAAAAATTTAAGTTCCAAATAGGTCTTCAAGGCAATTTTAGGCATCTGCAAAGGATCATCCTTATGGGCATTTTATACTGAGAATAGCTGACTTTAGATATCAATTATATTGTATTTATTTATTGCTATATCTACATGTTGCTTATATGTATATCTGCTCATATTTCCTGTGGTTAATTTAAGATGGTATATGTCGCTATTCTCCAAAATTGTTTTAAAGTAATTGATAATAAATTTGAAGCAATCAAGAATACATTTCCAATCAGTCCTTCAAAAAGATAATGTCTCATCTTTGCTTATTTTATAACAAGTGTGCAAGAAAAACAATATTTGCCTTTTTAAATTGGGTGTATTTTTAATTACATGACTCATTAGGAGAATTTAAATAATTTCTAGTTTTCTCCTCATTATGGTACACAGACTTAACATCAAAGATTTCACTGAAACAATAATTTAAAGCTCCAAATCAGTTTATTGTTTTATATGTATTTGTGTCAATGCAAATGGGCAGAATATGCCAAAGACAGAAGCTTAGGCTGACAAAACTATAATGGTCAGAACTGAGCTACTCTTTCTCCTCCTTGTCAAGAGTGTTTACTTCATAGGAGTGACTGGCAGTTTGGAGGAAGGCCCGAGGCGAATGAAAGAGTTGAGGACAGTTTGGGAGCACATCAACCAGGCCACAGGGTTATGAAGCCTGAGCAACCTGGAAGTCTTAGGGGAGGTGAAAAGAAGAGTAAATGGCAGGAGATAGGGGTTATTTTTAATATATAAGGGTCCAAATTTGTTATTGTTCATGCATATGTTAAGGTTCATCCTCTATTTGGTTCTGAGAACACACTTTCTAATTGCACTTAATCCTAGGTCACATGTCCTGCTACTGTGTTGAGGATGGATAGCACTGTTCCAACAACTTCAAGATAATTAATTTATTCTTTCATTTGCTTATTCATCAATAGGTTCTGTTGAGCATTTCTATATTCCAGGCATGGCGTAAGCACTAGGATGCAGGTTTTGTTTAGTCGGAGAGAGAGAGACAGAAAAGTGAAACAATAATTATAATTCAGTTTGCTCAGGACTATAATATGCACACAGAGATGTCTACATACAGATGAGGTATCTGCTAACTGGCAGGCAGAGAAGGATTCAGAGAAGGGGTGAACTGAATTCTGAAAGATTCATCTGAATGTACAGGTTTAAGGTTGGTTCTTTAAAGTTTCAAAATTAGTACCAATTTATCTTTGCATACACCTGCTATATTCAAACTAGTTTTTGTTCTCTATTCCCACAGCAAAATGTGTGCAGGGGTACCCACCGTAAGATAATGCACATTCTCTAATGCCACCTTACAAATATCCATTAAACCTCTTTTTCCCGGAAAACTCCCTAATTCCAATATTATTAAACACATGAATCCATAAAAAAATAGTTGACTTTCAGATAAGATAATCAATCATCTGCCACTAAATTTTCAACAAATTATACAGGACAACGTATAGATTGTAAATAATTCCATAGCTGTACTAGGTATTTCAGAAACAAATTTGCTGTATACATTATGGAAGAATTATCTCCTCCATACAGTGCTTATGATACTGATTTAGAAATCCCCCTAATGCCTGAGGCATGCTTTACTGCATAGAAATGTTCCCACTGATGAGGGAAAGAGAGTCATACGTATTAACCTGACAAAGAGAATATGCACAGTGACTTTAAGAGTCAACCTAAAAGCTTACATCTTATCTGCCTCCTTCTATTCTGTAGATGCTTGGAGCAAACCTTGAGAAAGAGGAGTTTTACGAACTAAAAAAGTGAGCAGTACAAGCAAAAAAAAAAAAAAATAGTGGGAAGTATTTGCCTAGTTACATCAAACTCAAGGGGATGTGTGTTACAGTCGTTATTACCACATTGTGTCTCTATGACTGCATAATTCATTAAGTTTTATTTGCACGTAGGAGTTGTCTAGAGTCAGTAACATTGTTAATAATTAATTGTAAATAGGTTTGTGTTTGTGTCCAAATAATATATATAAGTTTAAATATACGAGCTTATATTAATTTGCATTAACAAAATATTAATATAAAAATAGTTTAAGGCCAGAAAAGATAGTGTCAAGTAGTTAGAAAGAGGATATTAAATATTTCTAATCAAAAAATAATGAAAGTTTGAGATCATGAATATGTTAATTACCCTGATCTGATCACTGTACACAATATCACAATATCACTATACTCCGTAAGTCTGTGTAATTATTATGTGTCAGTTAAAAATATAGATTTAAAAAACTAGAGCTTATGAACAGGAAATAAATAAGACTACTGGAATTTTTTATTTATTTTTGAAGAGTTAGTACATTGTTCAACCTTGAGACATAAAATATTATATCTATTATCACATTTTATAGCAATGTGCTTTGTGAATAAAATTTTGTTCTGACTTAAAAACACTAGATTTACATATCTCTCTTACTGTGCAAAAGGGCTGCCATAAAGAACCACACCATATAGATGGTAATTCGGAGTTTCTTCCTCTATTTGTTGCCCTTAAATAGAAATTGCTTCATCTTTCTTCCTTCTGTGCTTTTCAGTACCACAGTCAGTTCTGTTACAAGTCAACAGAGCAGTGAAGATGGTGGTCTATTGTATAGAAAAAGTATAATCCTCAAACAGTTATTTATCTTCATTTTATTTCTTGTTTTGGATAGGAGCAAAAACTTCAACATGGTTTTGTACTTTGTACTTAGATCATGGCCAGAAAGTTAGGAGACAAGCAGAGAATATTTTATTGTCTGCACCAAGCTAGAGATCATATTGAATAATGAAGAGGTAAGTCAAATCTGAAGAACTGACTTAAAATTGTAAAGAACTTGATGTTAGTAACACTACTTATTTTGCAAGTATCCAGAATAATTTTAGCAGATGGGAACAATTCCCCACTCCCCGACTGAAGAACAAGAACATAGGTATTCTTGTATTGTAAAAGTGACCAGTCGTGAGTGTAGTTTGTAATCATATTTTTAAATGCTTATTTCATTT